AAATACAAACAGTTTGGAACATATTAAGCGAACTTCTTTGTATCCGGTCAAACCCCGAGGGTAGCTTTAGTTGTTTGTTTTTAGTAGAGGACGCCTACGCACTAAATCATTCCGTATTTGGAATTCTCATTTCTTAACATGATAGGATGAAAATATCCCGTAAAATACCGCAAAATTACAGCACTCTGTAACTTATGGCGTTACGGTGACAGATGTATAATAATAAAATATATTCTAGAAGAACTGTGAATTCCCTATTTTTTTAAATTACTGATGATCATTAATTCCATTTAAAAAAACAAACAAGTAACATATCGAATCTACCACGAAAGCCAGTTATCCACTCAGATCATTTAGCACCTAACAGTAAATCCGATATTAGTTATACCGATGTTTCCGAACCACAGCTTGTGAACGATTAGGTTCATAACTACACTAGCATTGCTATCGTCCATTATATTGGATACATTTCTCTGATGACGTGATTAGGTGTGCATTTCCTTTTTGAATTTCAACAGATACAAAGGTGAGTGGAATACGATGTAATGATATTCCATGATGCAAACAATGCACGCAATGCCACATTTTATCTTCTTATTTGTATTCGTGTGTACTTGTCATCGAGTATACCATCTGTATCAAGATATTTTTTATTGTGTCACTAACATTAGTTTTAATTTATTGGTTGTTGTTGAGAATGCTATATTCAATATAAAAGTAAAATATATTTGATTTTAACCTATACAATTGAGAGTACAATACAATAGAGCTACACTATACAATGTTTTCACAACTGTTGTTTATACTAGAAGCAAATAAAGACTTATTTGTTAGTATTGCACCATGGGACTGATAATTTGCATACAACACAACCCAGTAGCAAATATAGCCAAACCAGTACTACATTTGTTATGTCTGTTGAATTATGACAATGTTATATTTTCTATCGTGTTCTGTCCCATGATCTACACCATTTAAATAAGTAAGTAAGTAATTTATTTCCACTCATAATAATACAATAAATAATACAACTTTACATGAGTTTAACACACTAAATACAGAGTGGGGGAAATCAAAAAGAGCAACATTGCCTCGTCAACTAGATTCCCTTGTGAAAATAAAGTAATACAAAACTAATAATAGTGGTGAATAACAAAATCTATATTATAACAGTATCAATTCATTGATTTAAGATTATTGGTTTAACAGTAATGTTTTAAATGCAGCTTTCAATCTCTCAACACTGCGCAGGTATTTCACTGTGTTCGCAATTTCCTTCCAAAGTTGTAGACCTGAGAATAATATACTTTTCTGACAAAACGTTTTGCTCAGTTTAGGAAGTTTAAATTTATCCATATAAATGGCACTGTGAGTGCTTGGTAAATATATCACAGAAGACTGGGGTAGCAAATCATTTACATATTTATATATGAAAATAGCAAGTTCTTATTTGTTCATATCTAAGATATTGAGTACTTTGAATTTTTTGAAAAGAGTACGTGTATTAGTTCGATATGGACTGTTGCTGATGATATGAAGAGTTTTTTTTGAACAAGATATAACCTAAACTTTCATGGTGGAACACCATGCTAGAATTCCATAGCTCAAATATGAAACGATTGTGCAATATAAACTAGGTGCGCTCAGGTAGGAAGTGTTTAACTCAGTTAACACCAAGATTTCTTGAACACACAGAGAGAATATAGTCAATGTGTTGCTGTCATGATAGGTTTTCATCTATACGGACACTGAGACAGTTTCTATCATGAACCCGGCCCAGTGGAGTTGAACAAAGTTTTACACCAATATTAATATCTGATCTAGTATTTCTGGTAGTACCGATTAACATAAATTATCCCAATATTTTCATATGAATAAAATAGACTAGTATCATCAGCAAATATTATAAAATCTAACTTTTTAGATGAATGATAAATATCATTAAAGTATAGAATAGAAAGTAGAGGGTAAGATACAATTTATTCCGACACTCATAAAACATCTAAACACAATAAGTAGGTGCAATTGGTGTCAAAGGGGGAATTCCTATATTATGAGATAAACGGGCTTTTCAATCCCATATTCCTTTAATATGGTCTTATGTTACGTAATACTTCATAAACAAACATTAATGGTCCAATGAAAACTCACTTGCATTAAATATAATAACAATTACTTTAACTTTCACTAATACCGAGTGCTATATATACCTGTGTTCAGTAGTAGTAATTGTACAATCTAGCAATATATCATTGGACTATGTCTAATAATGTAATATTGCATTCAATATTATAGACTGTGAACCTATTTCAAATGAACGTCTACGAATTGAATTGTCCCTCCCGTGTTATTTAACAAATGTTGATTATGCATAAATAATCTCACTATAGAATATTGCATTTAGGGTACACTTATTTTATATTTGTGCTCATTATTCTGCTCTAAGTCAATAATTGATTTCGGTGCAAAGGTATATCTAAAATTTGCATGTTGCTAACATCATATGGTTTCAGTGAAAAATCGAGGCGAAGACGGCCAAAAAAACTACATTTTTTTTTCAGTCGAGTCAAGTGAGTTGAAAAGAATGAGCAGAACATGTTTGAAAAATAACCCTAACCCTAACCCTACTTTGCC